CAACTCAACACCAAAAAAAAAAAAAAGAAAGAAAGAAAAAGCCTATTAAAAAATGGGCAGAGGACCTGGATAGATATTCTTCCTAAGACAAACAGATGGCCAACAGACACATGAAACAATGCTCAATATCATTAATTATAGGGAAATGCAAATTGAAACCACAATGAGCTATCACCTCGCACCTGCTAGAATGTCTAAAACCAAGAAGGCAAAAATGAACAAATGCTGGAGAGGAAGAGAAAGGAACTCTGTGCACTGCTGGTAGGGAATGTAAATTAGTACAGCCACCATGGAAAACAGCATGGAGGTTCCTCAAAAAATTAAGAACAGAAACACCAAAAGATCTAGTATGTCCACGAACTGGGCATTTACACAGGGAAAAGGAAAACACTAACTCAAAGATACATGCACCCCTGTGTTTACCGCAGCATTATTTACAACACCCAAGACATCGAATCTTGCATGGATTATTGCCAGTTAGTCTCCCTATGTCAACCCTTAATTCCCAAAGGACATTTTCAGCACCAGGAGCCAGGGGTTCCTTTAAATCCTAACTTCATCTCAAGCTTCAGACTGCCAATGGTATTCCCTCTCAGTTAAAAACCAAAATCGCGGGGCGCCTGGGTGGGTCAGTGGGTTAAGCCTCTGCCTTCGGCTCAGGTCATGATCCCAGGGTCCTGGGATCGAGCCCCGAATCGGGCTCTCTGCTCAGCGGGGAGCCTGCTTCCTCCTCTCTCTCTGCCTGCCTCTCTGCCTACTTGTGATCTCTGTCTGTCAAATAAATAAATAAAATCTTTAAAAAAAAAAAAAAACCAAATCGCTGCAAAGATCTGCAAGGACATGTATGATCAGCCTCTTGTCACCTCTCTGACCCTCTTTCCTACCATCCCCCTTCTCCTTCCGTTCAACACACGAGCTTCCTCATACCCACCAGTACACACTCATCCCACGGTCTTAGCCTTGTCTGGGATGCCTTCTGGACTTTGTTCAAACGTCACCACTGAAACCATTATGAGCAACTCCCACCTCACCGTGCACGCATGCGCACTCTCTCTCACTCTCTCTCTCACACACACACACACACACACACACTTGCTCTCCCCCTTCCCTGACTTGTCTCCTTACCACAGCAACTTCATTACCCACTCAGAGGTTCTCATTAATTTTTAATCTTTTTCTACCAGAACATGTACTCCACGAAGGTAAAGGTTGTTTTACTGAGAGAGAGAAAGATACAAGCGCGCATGGGAACAGGGAAGGGCAGAGGGAGAGAGAATCCCAAGCAGGCTCTACACTCAGCAGAGCTGGCCACAGGGCCCGATCACATGACCTGAGACCATGACCTGAGCCGACATCGGGAGCTGGACATTTAAGCAACTGAGCCGCCCAGGTGCCCCAAAGGTAAAAGTTTTTGTGTGCTCTGTTCACTGCTTTATCCCAGCAGTGCCTAACACTGCAGCTAGCACATCACAGGTTCTCAATAATTTTTTTTTTTTTTACTGTAGTTGACCAAGTCTAACAAGATAGGGCCCCTGGCTACTCCCTCTGTCCCAACTATACTAAACCTTTTACATATTCGCTAAGGATGCCAAACCGATTTCTGACTCGGAGGTCTTCACGCCTGTTTTTTACTGACTGGAAATATCATGCCCCAAATATTTGTATGGCTCGCTGGCCACTTCTCTCTTCAAATGACACCTCCTCAGAGAGGCCTCTCCTAACCACCGCATCCAAAGTAACCACACAGGGACGCCTGGGTGGCTCGGTCAGTTAAGCGCCTGCCTTTGGTTCAGGTCATGATCCCAGAGTCCTGGGATCGAGCCCTGCATCAGGCTCCCTGCTTAGCAGGGAGTCTGTTTCTCCCTCTCCCTCTGACTGCTGCTCCCCTTGCGTGTATACGTGCGCTCTCACTCTCGCTCTCTCTCTCTCCCTCAGTCTCAGGCAAATGAAATAAAATAACCACAAAGAGACCAAGCACCCACACACACTCACAATGATCTCTACGCCGACACCATAACTGCAGAACATAATTCCATCTTTCTCACTGCAGTGTAAGCTCCATAAGGAAAAAAGGCATTACCTCTTTCTCACCACAGCATCTAGGACACCTGTAACAATGCCTCGCCCAGAGCAGGCACATGGTATTTGTCGACAGAGTGAATGAATTAATAAAATGCTTAAGGTAAATTTAGCTAGTCTCTCTATAACATAGGAGGAAATTCTGACACTGGATGTGAAGTTGAAGCAAATATCTAATAACCCTCAAAGTTTCTTCTATCGCTATTAGTCCATGAAATAAATAAGGTGAGTGACAAAACCTAAGACCAGATAGTACCTTCAAATGTTACTAAAGAACGCCTGAAGGATTCTGAATTAAAAGCCATATTTCTTGATTACATATTTTTTTTTTGAAAATTGGGCTGAGTCTTTTTTTTTTTTTAAGATTTTATTTATTTATTTATTTGACCGACAGAGATCACAAGTAGGCAGAGAGGCAGGCAGAGAGAGAGAGAGGAGGAAGCAGAGAGCCCGATGCAGGGCTCTCCGCGGAGCAGAGAGCCCGATGCAGGGCTCGATCCCAGGACCCTGGGATCATGACCTGAACCGAAGGCAGAGGCTTAACCCACTGAGCCACCCAGGTGCCCCTCTTAATTACATTTTTAACATCCCATACAGCATTGTGTATGGACCCAAAGAAGGGAAAGAGAACAGAGAAAGAGAGATGAGATGGGCCTACTATGGTAGACATACAGTATCCCACAGTGAGGGGAGAAGAAAACATTGGTAAGCCTCTCCTTTTACAGAACTGAAGTCCAGAGAAAGAAAAAGATTTGTGCGCCGACAGAGCTAGACTTAGAACCCAGGCCTTCTCTCAGCACCATGCTCCCCCATGGCTGCGCCTCACTGGCAAAGCCCGGACCACGTGAGAGTCTAATGCTATGCTAAGAAATAAAGACACTCCAGGAAAAAAGGGATAAAGGAAAAACTGGCACGCAAGAAATGCAAACAGCCAATAAGCAGCGGAACTACTGCTCGAGCACAGTAACAGCAAGTGTTGAAACAATAAATTACTTTTTGTCACCCACTGCTTAAAAAAAAGAAGACTGACAAAAGCCCTACTGCTGGCTGAAAGTATGGTAAAACTGGTATATCCTTTCTGGAAGGCTTTCTAGCAATACCTACCAAACTTTAAAACACATATATCCTTTGCCCAGCAATTCCGTCTCTAGAAATTCACTTCAGGGAAACAAAGGAGACAAATACAAAAGCAGGGGATGGTAAATCTGGCTGCTTATCACAAGCACGTTAAAACAATCTCACTCTGGGCGCCTGGGTGGCAAAGTCGGTTAAGCATCTGCCCTCGGCTCTGCTCATGCATCGGGCTCCTTACTCAGTAGGGAGCCTGCTTTTCCCTCTGCCTGCTGGCCCCCCCTGCTTGTGCTCTCTCTTTGTCACATAAATAAAGTCTTTAAAAAAAAATCTCACTCATCAATATAGGTTTTTTTTTTATTAAAGTTTTTTTTTTTTATTTATTTGACAGACAGATCACAAGTAGGCAGAGAGGCAGGCAGAGAGAGACAGGAGGAGGCAGGCTCCCTGCTAAGCAGAGAGCCTGATGCGGGACTCGATCCCAGGACCCTGAGATCATGACCTGAGCCGAAGGCAGAGGCTTTAACGACTGAGCCACCCAGGCGCCCCATCAATAAAGTTTTTACTTCCAACAAGCTGGTAGGAGGAATTGTTAGCCCTCAGAAATTTATAAATGAGTAATAAGGAAATGAAAGTTTGGGACTAAGAAGAAAGCAAGACAATATTTAAAGGTAACAACAGAATCATAAACTTTTTTCTCAAAAGATAAAGGAATTCAAGTTCGATAAAGGGAATAAAAATCATCAGTAAAAAGGGATATACTAAAAATGATGAGAAGAAAAAAGAAATATCCTACAGTAGTATTATTTCCATGTGTGATTTATTAGGAGAGCTTTTATAGTACCAAATATCCAGGTCCCATTCTGAATTAGTATCTACAAGAGTGGCATTTAAGAATGTTAACGCAGGGGCGCCTGGGTGGCTCAGTGGGCTAAGCATCTGCCTTTGGCTCAGGTCATGATGTTGGGGTCCTGAAACCCAAGCCCTGCATCAGGCTCCCTCCTCATCAGGGAGCCCACTTCTTCCTCTGCCTGCTCCTCCTCCTGACTATGTGCTCTTGCACGTGCACTCCCTTTCTCCTTTTCTCTCTGACAAATAAATAAATGAAATCTTTAATAAAAATTAAAAAAATCTTAGGCTTCAAAGGACACCATCAAGAAAGTGAAAGGACAGGTCATACAATGGGAGAAAATATTTGCAAATCATATGTCTGATAAACATCCAGTATCAGAATGCAATAATTATCGAAGTCAACAATAAAAAGACAAATAACCCAATGTAAAATGTGACAAAAGATATGAATACATATTTCTCCAAAGAAGGTGTACAAATGGCCAACAACCACATGAAAAGATGTCAACATGATTAACTATAAGGGAAATGCAAATCAAGACCACAATGACCTACCACTCCACACCCACTAGGATGGCTAAAATTAAATTAGTTAATTAAAACAGCATTCACTAGGATGTAGATTAGGCCACCCAGAAAGAAAGAGAAAAGGATTAGGAACCAAGCCTTAAGGGAGTCCAAATTTAATTGCCAAACGGAAGAGAACCAGCCTATAAAAGAGACCAAGAAGCAGCAACCCAAAAGGGAGAAAATCTGTAGGTGACAGAAGGCAAAGAGAACATGTCCAAGAGGCCAACAATGTCAGTGCTTCTGAATGTAGATGAAAAGTACAGTGAATGAAAAGTCTCTTAGATTTCGTGATATAGCATGATACGCAGAGAATGATATTTCCATAGAATGATGGTGGCAACATTACTAAGAAACTAGGCTGCCTTTCTGAACTTTCTAATGTGTGTAACACTTCATGGAAGCATAAAAAGTTTGAAATAAAGGAGTACCTTGATTATCTGCAATTGTTCTCAAATCCTCTGGGAAGTCTGGAAAATAAAAACGGATTAGAAAAAGCGTGCTCCCAGCAAGTTCACAAACCCACAGTTAAGAACTCCTTAAGACTAGCTAAAAGGGATTAGACTTCATTAAAGACTGCCTTGTGCAGCAAGGTGAATGATGTTCCGCACTACTTCCAACTTCGTACCGATCTTACGCGTCAGTTGTGTTTACACCCACCATTATTTGCCATTTCGGTGGTGGAGCGTCTGGCCACAGTTATAAACATCACCCGAACCCAGCACTACAACACGTCTGCGTTATTCGAGTAATTCCAACTACAAAACGGAAACTAGGCAATGAGGTAGGTATACAGATCACCATCCACGAGAAAAACACGTGTCGTCCCGAGATTCAGAGGGAGGTTTTTATGAGTAAAAGGGAACAAAACTGAAAAACCACAAGACATTGGCCCTTCTAGCCAACTTCAGTTTAAATTCAGGAAATACAGATCTGTAAAGGCTACGTAACCGCGAAAGCCTTGTCCCATCCCACAAATTCGGCACAGAAAGTGGGAGAACGAATGAAATTAGATTTGACAATAAGGAACGAGGCCCCTTAAATATTTCTTACACCCTTCCAGCATCTAACGCCAACGACTCGGTCCTCACTTCTGGCAGCGCTCCCCGCCTCCCAATTCCCCCCGACCCCAGCTGGCAAGTCCCCTTTCAACTACGAAACAAACCAGCAAACCGCCCGAGAAAGACCGAAACTGGAGAAACAGGCTCCACCATTAAAGAAGCTCTAGCCACGCTCTGCCTCACACTGATCCACCCGCCACCCTGAGCCAGAGATCAGGAAACAATTTACCAGCCCAAACAGAGAGAAGCACACGCTGTTCTGCGGCTACGGGAAACCCTTCAGATGGAGCTCGCCATGACACATACGTCCCGCCACGTCTATTTGCGCATGCTCGGCGACGGTGGCCCGAAGAGGTCAAATTGCATCATCGCTGAAAGTGCGAGTTCAGGTCTAACTTGTTTTGGTAAAGATTACGGTCGGAATTCCTTTGATTGCAAGAGTGAAAATCGACACCAAAACCTCAGGTTCTTAAAATCAGTTAATAGTATCTTCTGCTGAGCTTTTACTACGTGACAGACACCGTATTAAGCGCTTCACATAAACATTATCTCCCAACTTCTTCTTATTGTTATTGTTATTTTACAAAAGAGGAAACAAGAAGTGTACGTACTTGACTGCAGTTACTATACTAGTAGTAGCAGTCCCCTGTGCTGAATTCAATTTTGCCCAGCTCTGAAAGAACCCATTCTTTTCATTACATTTTACTTTCTACCTCAACCTTTTGTGAAAAGAGATCATATTGGAGAAGAGGGTAGAAAAGGGCAAAGATCGGTTGAATTAAACAGTATAGATCATTTAACGCCAAGCAAGGGGTTTTCTTAAGGCTTGGAAGGCAGCTAAACTGAAAGGCAGTTTAGCAGAAAGAACTTTCATGGAGTATACTGATTCTGACCTAGTTGCCTTCCATGTGTTTTCTCACTTTATTTCTTACTCAGGACACTGCTTGACCTTGTTTACTGAAAGAGCATCTCCACTTTAAAAAACGAAGACAATTAGCTATGAAGAAGACAGAAATCATGAGCTTTATTGCTAGTGTAATTCCTTCTAATTACAATGCTACCCTTTGCTTGCCATATCCATGAAAAAAAATCCAAACTGTGACCTAGAGCCCACTGCAGTCCTCACCCAGCTGAATCAGAATTGTACCTTTACACTGCCCCATCTCTTTCACTGTAATCCCACTGCCTAGCACATAATCTTCCACTTAATGGCCTCTCCATAAGCTACCTTAACTAAGAATGACTGACCCCCAAGATCTAGTTGAGTTCACGAAAGAAGTTTTACTGAGTACACACCACATGATCTCAGGCAAGACGCTGGATGCTAGAGCTAGAAAGGGGGGGGGAGACAACTCCCTACCTCAAGGATACTTCAAGGATATAGTTTCAGTAGAAAAGAGCAATCACGGGGCGCCTGGGTGGGTCAGTGGGTTAAAGCCTCTGCCTTCGGCTCAGGTCATGATCCCAGGGTCCTGGGATCAAGCCCCGCAGTCCGCAGGGAGCCTGCTTCCTCCTCTCTCTCTGCCTGACTCTCTGCCTACTTGTGATCTCTGTCTGTCAAATGAATAAATAAAATCTTAAAAAAAAAAAAAAAGGCAATCACTTTGGAAGAGGAATGCCCAGGGACCTGTGGAGCACAAAGGAGAGATTCCTCCTCTTACATACATAAGGAGGTCATGACTCCTCATGGGGGAAAAGAGCAGTGGAAGATGTTCCAGGTGGGGAGATAGTAAGAGTGAGTGCACAGAGGCCTGAAGTATAAACTCTTGTATATTGTATCTTGTATATATAAACTCTTGTATATAAACAAACTGTTGTATAAAGGGGGGGGGTGATAGTTGAGAAGGCTGGAGAGGAAAAATGCAGGGACCACATGAAGGTGAGCCTTGTTTGCTACAATAGACATTGGACCTAATTTTGGATGTATTAGGTAACATGAAAGTGTCTGAGCAGATGATTCTTTCAGGAGGATGGGTTTGAGGACAAAACTTCAGACATGAATAAATATTGAAAACCTAAATGGAGTTGTTGGCTGTGAAGAATAGGGAAATGGAAGGGAGGACGCTTTTAATAGGAATCATTTGAAAATCCATTTGACCCTACCTCTAGGAATTTATCTTACAGAAATGTTCACAGTTACACCAAATGGCATATGTGCCAGGTTATTCTTTGAAATGTTGCTTGTAATAACAAAATACCAGAAAACCTCTCTGGCTTCTGAACAGGGAATGGTTAAATATATTTATGGTATCTATACCTCTCTTAAGAAAGAATAAGGCTGCTTTTAAAGGACTACCCAAGTCATTGTTAAGTGGACAAAGAAAGTTGCAACATAGTGTTTACAGTGTATATACACACCTGTGTGTGTGTGTGTGTGTGTGTGTATACACATTGACTACAGGAAGATTTACTTTTCCCTGTATTACCTTTCTTAACTTTTATTTTTGTATCATGCCTGTGTACTACTTATTCAAAAAATAAAGATACAGTATGTAAATAAAATTAAAATGACACTTGATAATTTATAATTTACTGGTTTATAAATAATCCTATAAATTAGTAGTACTATTATTATTTTATCCTCCTTTTTTAAGATTTATTTGAGAGAGAGAGTGAGAGAGAGCATGGTGGTAAGGAGCACAGGGAGATGGAGAGAAAAACTCGAGCAGACTCTGAGCTGAGCACATGGAGCCCTATGCAGGGTTTGATCTCACAATTCTGAGATCATAACCTGAGCTGAGACCAAAAGTCAGCCGCTTAACCAACGCCCCACCCAAGCAATTCTCTCTTATCCTTTTTTCACAGAAAAGAAAACTGAAACTTAGATAGTCCTGCTCTGGTCTTTCTTAGCAACTTTATATGAATACTTCAAAAGAAAGAAACTGTATACTATCATTAAAAATGCAAAAATTCACATAGAGAAAAACACTAGAGAGAAAGCAAAAATAAGAGAAATGTACAATAAAATCTGTAAGACTTCAGTGATCAATTCCATTCTTTATGTTTGTCTTTACAGTGAAAATTGAAATGAAAATGTAGACAACAATTAGGTTACAACCTTTACTATCTCAGCCATTAACCAAGAAAGAAAGAACGAAACATGAAAGTTATGAACACTTAGGTCCACATATTTTATTTAGTGTTAGCTTACAATCTGAGTCTTTAGTTAGTATACTTACAAATTTGTCCCAGTTGATGTCTTTTCATGAGAAATAAATCCTGCACTTAATTCACCCTTGAAAAATACTAAGAAGTATAATGAAGTTTTCTGTGTAGAATATTAGATAAGTTTAGTGGAATGAGATTTAAAATGTATTTTTTTAAAGATTTTTATTTATTTATTTGACAGACAGAGATCACAAGTAGGCAGAGAGGCAGGCAGAGAAAGAGAGGAAGAGAAGCAGGCCTCCCCCTGAACAGAGAGCCCGATGCGGGGCTCGATCCTAGGACCTTGGAATCATGACCTGAGCCGAAAGCAGTGGCTTTTACCCACTGAGCCACCCAGGCGCCCCAAGATTTAAAATGTATTAATCTATTTCCTACATGAGATCAGAAAAGTATGAGTGTTCTCAGTTTTTAAAGTTTAGTGGGTCAACACGTATTACGTGAATGTATTATTATTTACATTAGCTTCCCATCTCCTGTGACAGAAAGTTAGCTGTAATTTCATCAGCAAAAAAAATGAAAGGAGGGGCACCTGGGTGGCTCAGTCGTTAAGCATCTGCCTTCAGCTCAGGTCATGATCCCTGGGATTGAGCCCCACATTGGGCTTCCTGCTCGGCAGGGAGCCTGCTTCTCCCTCTCCCACTCCCCCTGCTTGTGTTCCCTCTCTCACTGTGTCTCTCTCTGTCAAATGAATAAATAAAATCTTTTTAAAAAAAAAAAAAAAGAATGAAAGGAGCACATGAAAATTGAGGCTAGACCAGGGTTTTTGGTTGGATCTGATTAAGCGTCAGAGTAAACTCCCCAGCTGAAAACTATACAACTAATGCAGTTTTTAGGAAGGCTTTTCAGGTGTTGGTTTTCCTAAAGGTTTGAAGATCAGGAAATAAGTTAGGACATTATCACAACATTTAAATACAAACCCAAGGAGAAAGACAGTTGAGATAGAGAAGACAGAAAGTGTGTCAAAAGAAACTTTGCCCCATACAGGTGATGGCTTCAAAAGAGAGGATAGAAAGGAAGGGCACTGATATTCTTAAGTAAACTGAAAAAAGATGATATAAAAACATGATGTGAAATAAATGAAGCTGCTGTTGGCTTTGAACAAATGCTGAATTTTCTCCACGTCATCTAACCACTAGGGGTCAGAGCGCTGTCCTTGCAAAAATTCAGCTATTTCTATTCTTTCGGTTTGTACAAATAGGTTTGACTCAATTCTGTAATTAATTTTCTCTTTTGATTCTTCCACTCTCAGTATGCGTGGTTTGGGGGCTGTGCCTGTGGGCCAGACCCCAGAGCAGCAAGAAGCCCACATACCCTTGCCGCTGGGCAGGTAACCCACGCTAGGACTTGCAAGGCAGGTAAATTTTGCCTTCTCTGTCTGCCAAGAGAACCTGCAGCTGGAAGTTTCTGAAACTACCAGGTGGAGAACACCTGCCTGGGGCCCAAGCTGTTTCACAAGAAAGTAGATCTGGATGATGAAGGGAGAAATCAGTAAGTTCTGAGGACAGCTATTAACCCCCCTAATATATCCAGCTTGCTTGAAGCTAGGTTTACTTGTGAGTTGTTTAGTTCTGTGAATAGGTAAATTCTCCCTTTTTATTTCTTAAGCTAACTTGCAACTGAAAGAGTACTAACTAAACTTCTTAGTTTTACATATGCTCTTGATTTAAAAAAAAAAAAAAAGCAGAGAAAGAAAGATAATTTGTATCTGTTGCCTAACTCCCTGATTGCTTATAAGTATTTGTGCGAATGCGTGCAGGAGGAACATAGAGGGAAAAGGGACCTGCCAGTGGAAAGGCTCTAAAAGCTCTAAGACATGGTGTGTTCAAGCGACAGCAAGACAATCAGAAGGGTTTGGAATGGAGTGAGTGTGTGAATGCATGAGTAATAAGAACGGAGGTCAAAGAGTCAATGAAACCAGATCATGTATACCTTCATGGGCCATAGCCAGAACTTTGGCTTTTCCTCTAAATGAAATGGAAGTCAACAGAGGGTTATGAAGAG